TGATAGGAGCACTGTATGATCAATGTGCGCCAAAATAAATAGATGATTAACATAAAAAGTATATGATGCCGTTTATTTTTACAATACTGCTATTGTTTCTAAAATTTGGTGGAGTAATGTAGTTCATGTGGTTATCATTGGAAAGTTATTGATCTATTAGTAAATTCTATAATCCGGTTGTTGTATGCAATTCATGACAAGATAAACTCAACCATACATATTCAAAAACAGAGCGACGAAAAGGACCTCCACGAAATTCTTAGGAGCTTTTAAAATGGAGACCCGGTGTTAAAATTAAAGTTTGTTTAGACATAAAGACAGTATATAACTGCCTAACTACAAAGATACACCCCTCTCACCCCAACAGTCATATTTATTTGATTTACATTTATTTTGAACATTGCCATTAGGACATTGTTTAAATCCACACTAGCCAGAGACGTTTATTCCCATTACATTATGGTCTTCCATTTCTATAGCGCATAATACAATGCATGACAAACGTCACATAACCACTACTAATTCCACCTTAATTCGGAGTCGCAGCTCAGTCTTCCATGTGTAAATGTTCGTATTGACACTGTGTTTTTAGCATTATTTTAAAGTAATAACCTATCAGACATTTACATGAACAACAAAACGAATGGAAATACATTTATTTTAACTACCGGTATTGTTTTCAGCAAAGTGGCGTATCCATATATTTTAAAGAAGGGGATGCTGATGTAATGAGAGTCCACATCACGTCAGTACCATCGTGGTTGGCGGTGACGCAAAAATTTCTGTATTTTATACCACTGGATGCCCCAAAATGGAACTTACATTACCTAATAAATAATAATGTTTTTGACAAATTGAGTAAAAAAAAATGGAATTTAAGTACTTACTATTCTAAAAACTACCATATTCAACTGAGCCCCACTGTGGTTGCGGCTCATGTGAGAACATTTTGAGAAGTTGAGACTCGTCAGATGCACAAAAAAGCACTTGAATAGTACAAAATGTACGATATCCACCTGAGCCCCACCATGGTTTTGGGGCGCAGATGAGTCAATTGCAAGAATTTTAGACTTTATAGATGCCCCAAACAACAATCGGATACTTAAAATTTATGAAAATTTTAATCCATCTATCTCAGCCCACCATGGTTGAGGCTGAGGTAAAACAATTTTAAGAATTAGAGACTTTTAGATGCAGGAAAATGGCAAATACATCATGGAGGTGAGAAAATGTTAAAAATTAAATTGGGGAATTTTGATGCCGGAAAATGGCAATGTCATACATAAAAACTAGTAAAATTACTATATCCACCTGAGCCCCGTCATGTGTGTGGCTGCATGAGATAAAGTTGGAGAATGGCACTTTAATACTTAAAATTTATGTTGGTTATTTTTTAACATTTGAAAAGGGGATGTCAATGGGACGCAACTGCCAAAAAACTTGGCAGCGAAGGGACGCTACCAATAAACAATCAACAAACTACCGGGTTTCTGGGTTGATTTCCAAGGTATTACATGGCTCAACTATATTTTACTTTAGAGTTAATTGCTAAAAATCGCACACAAATCATACGACGTCACTGACAACGCCGGGGACGGCAACTCGATCTTGAGATTAATTTTCCGAATAAAGTTATACTAAATAACTTCTAATGACGAACTATTGTCTTCAATTG